TTTTCTCCCTGACCACCCCTCCCCCAATTCGCTCTTCTCTTTGAAAAGAAAAAGAAAACTTCTTTCATTGTTCTTAGCCCTCACTGGATGGATCTGATGTTCAGCAATTCCTCTTGCCTCCTCCCAGTGCCCAGAAGCCTAGCACCTTCTAGATGTCTGGTTAGCCAAATCACCCACCTCCCGTGGCTGCCCTCATCCAAAACCAGCCCCCAGGGTTTGGGCAGAGATGGAAGGAGTTTGAGCTCAGGCCAAGGTTCAAAGCCTTCCTCCAACACTCACTAATCCTTTGAGAAAGACATCACTTGAACTTCTCTTCCTTCTCCTTAATCACAAACCATTAGCCCCATAAACAGATCAAAGACTACTCCTGTTGATGTGACTTGTCTTTTTCTCTTTTCACTCCCCTGTTGCCTCTGGAGGGAGCTTTGCTGGTCTAGTGGTAAGGAGCTGCGCTGCCAACCAGCCCCAAGGTAAATGGTTCAAATCCACCAGCTGCTCCACCAGAGAAGGATGAGCAATCTCCTCCTGTGTGAATGATGACCTCTAAAAACCAGTTGGAGGATTAGCTATGGGTCTGACTTGAGAGCAATTAAATAAGGAGAGTTGTTGCTTTTTAAAATATTATTTTTAAAATAATAATAGAATATTAAAGAAATACTTTATAGAAGAGAAAGTAGCCAGTTGATGACAAAGCCACTACTCAACCCCACCCATCTCTGCCAGATTCCAAAACCTTCATAGTCTTTGGTGGCATAATGGTAAGAAGCTGTGCTGCAATTCCAACGGCAGGTGGTTCGAATCCGTCAGTTGCTCCACAAGAAAAGGATGAGCAATCTCTTCTGGTGCGATTTACTGCCTCTGAAAATCCCCCAGAGAATGCACTATGAGTCGGTTCTGCCTCGATGGCACCCAACAACATATTCTCAAGGGATCTCTTCTGGAAATCTAGACCAGCAACACACAGCAGCAGCAAGCGCCCGAATCTGCCCTTGTTCCTCCTCTTGGTCCTGGCTCCATCCCACCCCCTTCTCCCGCCCCCCCCCGTTCCACCCCCTCCTCCTCCAGGTCTGCGTCCCCACCCGCACCCCCCTCGCTACCTTCCGTGGGCGCATTGGCATCCCAGACACTCCACATCTGCACGAAGAAGAACGGCGTCCAGCACACGATGAAGGCCACCACGACGATAAAGGTCATCTTGACGGTGCGGATCTTGGCCTTGGAGATGAGCTTGACGCTGCTGACGCGCGACAGGGCCCCGAACCCCTCATAACCCAAGGCTGCATCCTGTGGCCCTTCGGCCACCGCTGCTGTCTTGAGCCGCAGGTTCTGCCAGATCTTGAAGCTGATGAGGCCGTAACAGACGGCCAGCACGATGACCGGCACGATGTAGACCGAGAGCGTGATCCACGTGATGTAAGCCTTGGGCCCCCAGGGCTGGATGAAGACTGCCCAGCAGTCGAAGACGCCCTCGGCCACCTCTTGCAGGGAGAAGATTTGCACCTGTGGCACGCTGGCCACTAGACAGCCCAGCCACGTGGCCAGCACGGCCAGGCGGTCGGTGCGGCGCCGCAAGGAGCGCAGCGGCTGGCAGATGGCCAGGCAGCGGTCCAGCGACATGAGCAGCAGTAGGTAGGTGGAGGCGAACATGCCCACCACCTGCAGGTACTTGACAAGGCGGCACAGCAGGTCGGGCCCATAGAAGCGGAAGGTGATGTCCCACAGCAGCTGCGGCAGCACCTGGAACACGGCCACCACCAGGTCGGCGATGCTCAGGTGCTTCATGAAGAAAAAGAGGCGCGAGTGTTTGTGGCGCGTAGTGCGCAGCGCCAGCAGCACGCACGCGTTGCCGCTCAGCGCCAGGAAGAGAATGAGAGCCAGCACCGCCACCTCCACGCGCGCCAGCGCTTCGTTGCGCTTCGGCGGACCGGCTGTGAGGTTGCCCTCCAACGCCGAGCTCGCATTGTCCGCCTGGGCGGCGCTCCAGTTAGTCGCAGTGACACTCTCCATGAAGGGGTCGTGCGACCTTTAACGCGGGGCCCGACGCGCAGTCCTGGGTGCCTGGGGGTTCCAATCTCGCGGGACTCGCGGCCTCAGCTGCTGCGTCCCGCCCTGAAACAAACCAGGATGGCGTGAGAAGACGGCTCATTTCTCTTCGAAACTGACTCCCCCTTCCCTGGAAGCCCAAACTCTCTGGACTTCCAGACCAGATACAACTTCTGGCCATTCAAGGAATCTCCGTCATAGGTTCCTCTTATGAACCACTGCGAATGAGTGGAAGCCCTCTGTAGGGCCCTCTGTTCCTGGGGATAGTCACTTCCAGCGGGGTAGAAGGATGGGTCACAATCAGCCACATTCTCAGGAACAGAGACTTCCAGCCCTGCCACATATCCCCCAACAATTCTCAAACTAACCCCTTTCCACAGAAACAATTAGCCTCGTCTCTTCCACAACCGGAAGCCAGTGGCCACTCCTAAGGCTAGCACTCCTGGCAGTTCTGGAGGTTCCCAGACAGCTGCTAGCCTAGGAATCCCTAGCTCAAGACTCCCCTTCCACCTTCCCCACCTTCTGTCCTGAACTTCCTTAAGAGCTGCTTTCGCGGATCCATCCTCAGTACTTAGCCGCCACGTCCAAATTTGGTGTCCAGGACCCCTCGCCTAAAGTCCTCCCCAGTCCCGCAGCCTTGAAGGCTCAAGAGCCCAAGGAGTTGTTTGGGTCAAGGGCTCCCGAACTCTAGTGTCCATAGAGAGTTGCGCTGCTAAACCAAAAGTGGCTCCTCTGCAGGATCAATCCACCAGGGGCTCCGCGGGAGAAAGATGGGTAATCTCCTCTCCTGTGATTTACAGCCTCTGAAAACCCGCGTGAGTGTCAGCTATGGGCCGGTTCCGACTCTTGATACAATCTCTCCACAGCGCCCCGCGCGCTTCCAGAAACCAGGAGCGCGAGGCACCTCCCCACCACCGACAACTCTATCCCAAGGGCCCCACCAACCCGCACGCAGCGCGCGACTACCCACCCGCACCGAGTCTGCAGCCTGGCCCCTAAGTCGGTCGCCAGAGGAATTTGCTCCGATGCTGTCGGTACCGAAGACGTGTGCCGTCTGGGTCCGGGTGCAGCCTGCAGCCCCGATCTGCCCCTGCGCTGTGGTCTGGAGCCCTGAGAGTCCCCTTGCCGGCAGCGTGGTGGACACCGAAGGCGAGCAGGGGCGCCAAGGTTGCGGGTGCGCCTGCCAAGCGGCCGGCTTCTCTGCGCCGGAAGCTGGAGCTGCACCGCGCGCGAGGCGCAGGGGCGCGGGAGGCCCCCTCAGCCGTGCGTCCCGACCCGCGCAGGCGCTCGTCGCGGAGAGGCAGCAAACATGCTCGGTGCGCAGCGGTTCAAAACTGCGAGAGGGAGCTCGTAAATAAAGCCTCTGGTTTCTTCCTTTCTTGGTGTAGCAGCTCCCAACTCGCAGGCAAATAAGAGCTTTGAATAGTGATGTTTTCCCTGCGTCGATGGTGATGATGTTACAAAAGCATTTAACCAATATTTCCCAAACAGGAGGTTAATGTCAGTGCTTCTCCCCCTCCCACTCCAGCTGCCTAAGGTGAATTTAGCAATGAATTTAAAAAACCCCTTGTTTTGGGATGTTTTTGTCTGTGATCCTGCTAATGAATAATTAGAAATCCTTTCTAATCTAATCAGCGCTAGGGTATGTCTTCATTCTTTAGCAGTTTAAGGGAAAAAAAATCCTACCTCTTAATTTTAACTTATTTTGCCCATCATGGCCTGAAGCTTTTTGTGCATTCTTGCCATGACTGAAAATACAGTCTGAAATGACACCAGAAGAGAACAGTCTCTGTTCTCTTGCTCTTTTCCATTCCAGAATCTTTTCTAGATTAATTTACAGTGACCAAGAATTAAGGAGGGAGGGGGGTGATGCCAAGATCTTAAAAAACCCGCTCAAGACTCGTTAAAATGCATTAAATGCATATTTCCTCCTGACATTTTACTTCCTTCTCTTTAATTTCACAGAGAGAATGGAATTACAATGACCAGGTTTCCTGAATCCACACTTACAGCCCTGGGCCAAGGCTTGTTTCAAGGAGCTCAGGGACTATGAGCACAGGCTTCTGCTTGTGCGAACCTCCCTCCAGGACAGAGATAGGAAGGAAAAGTGCACAGGAAAAATGGATCCTTAAAAGTAATTTTTAAAATGTCAATATCCTTCTCCTTAAAAGTAATTCATTGTGTTTGTCACATAAATCCAGAATTAAAATCTTAGAATCTAATGATTAAATGATGGTGCATTTGCCCCTTAGTGTCCCTGGATCTCAGTTTCCCCCACATGTGTAATGGACAGACTGAATTAAGATGGCTAATGGCTGCGGTTCCATCCTTCTGGTTTTCTGAAAGTTCTGGGTTTGTTTGTTTGTTTTTTATCTATGCCATCTGAGAATTTAACTCTAGGAGATACACCACCCGGTGCACACATTTCAGGGCTGGGTGAGCAGGGATTCTCCTTAAGCATTCCTCAGTTATAAATTTGGGAAGTAAAAAGCTAAGCCTGCCCTTTTCACCAGAGGAGAGCTGGTTTCCTGGATTCCCATTTGAGTTCTCCTCCCATGGGGAGGCCCATCCAGATCTGGGAGGTAGGGAATTTAGCAGGTGAGCGAGGTTGCCAGGTTCTAGATTCATTTAGTAGGACCATTTGGTCTCACAAAATCTGGGTCTGAGAACTTAGCCTTCACTTGAAAATAATAAAGAGTTTGATCCGCATTCTCTTTCATTTTATTTCTGAATGAGTCTAGCGACGGAAGAGAAGGGGTATTTACTGGGAACTATGGCATAGGATAGGATAAGGTTCAGATCTGTTATTCACAGAGTCTCTGAGTCATGCTCCACTCGATGGCACCTGACAACAATAACAACAACAACAAACAACTCTTGAAGACTCCTAACAATGACTGAGACATACTTCAACCCAAAAGGGAGAAATACAGTAAAGTGTTTGCCTGTGAAAAGCCCAAGTACAAATTGAATCTGACACAGAAATGCCCTATAGCAGCTTCATGGAAGCAACTTTCAGTCATTGAGAAGTTGCTGAGTTCAAACCACCAACCTATTAGCTAACAGGTAAGAACTTTACCACTACACTACAGGAGCTCCATTTATCTATGCCATTGGGTAAAGTGCTGTTAAGCTGAGGGAGCAGTTAAGAGCATGATATCATGCAGAAGGGGACTGGCTATGTAAGAAACTTGAAAAAAATCTTCTGTAGGAACCCAAGAAACAAGTATAAGCCATTTCCTTGGAGACTGGCAGTTCTGTAGCTGCTATGACTAGCTCCGGGCCTGGCATATTAAAGTAAGTATTTCAAGATAAAAATAACAATTTAAGTACTTAAAAATACTTACTGATGCTGAAGGACCTTTTAAGGTCATGCAAAGAAAACTAGGGTTTTGTCCATAAATCAATTTTCCCCAAAGTATGGGATGCAATACGTCTCCTAATGATACTCAAAACTCAGAATTAGCCTGAACTAATGCTGAGTACTGAATGAGATCTAGTGGCCCAGTAGTAAAGCAACCCAAAGCTATGTGGTTCAAATCCACCAGTTACTCCATGGGGAAAAGATGGGCCATCTCCTCCTGTAAGAATAGCTGACCCTGAAAACCCACTGGAGGGTCAGCTATGGGTTGACTCCGACTCAGTAGTGCTTAACAAAAATAATACTGAATATAGGTACTGGTGCTCCAGTAGTTAAAACCCTTGGCTGCTAATCAAATTATCCACAGCTTGAAGCCACCAGTTGCTTGGCAAGGGAAAAATGTGGCTGTAAAGATCCCAGTCTTGGATACCACATGGGGCAGTTTTCTCTTCCCTATGAAGTTGCTGTGAAGGGAAATGCCCTCAACAACACTGAATACCACCAAATAATGGGGGGAAAGAGGTTTGTTCTTTTCTGTTTCAGAAAAAATTATGAAGGCTTTCCAGTTCTTGTGACAATTACTTGGACAAGGATCCCAACCCACGGTGCCTCACTTGTTGTTATGTGCTGTCAAGTCTAAACTGACTCATAGCTGACTTTCCAGCAGTTTTCAGAGACTGTAAGTCACACATGAGGAGATTGTCCATCTCACTCACAGCCAAGTGGAAAAGAGTTCTTTCTAAACTAAGCCAGTCTCCTCTCTCCCAAACACCATTTCCCTCCTGTAAAGGATCCCTCAGTTTCTGCTGGCATCTAGCTTCGGGAGTGATCAGAGCCTGAAAACACAATTGGCAGCACCTATCTTGCCTGAAAACCCACCTCCTAACTTTCTCACTTCCAGATAAAAGTGCATCATGGGGCATGGGCTGATAGAGGAAGCTCAGGAGAGGTGCAGGGCGTTGGATCAGAACGTCACTAGCTCAGAATTTTAAGTCATACTAGCCTGAATCACCTCAGACTACTTCTCCAGCTATGTTTTCATTCCTGTGTTCCGTGGAGAGTGGAGGAAGAGAGAAAAACATGTTTTCATATCAGATGGAGTTGAGGACTTAGAGCAGTAAGTGCTGGAGTCCAGGTTTGATCAACTACCACTGCTCTGAAAACCCACTAGAGGGTCAGCTACAGGTTGATTCTTACCCTCCACTTGTTTTTTGAAGTGATAAATCTTTACAGGAGAGAACTGCCTAGATTTTTCTCTCAGAGTGGCTGATGGATTCAAACTGCTTTTTTGAATCTCCACCTGTGCAATTTGCAGGTTCTGAAAAACCTGCTGATGTTTGTGGTTATTTTCATGTCTTCTTTAATGCAATGAGTATTCAAGCCCTTTGTCTACTTTATGATTGGGTTATTTGTCTTTTTGTTGTCTGATTGTGTGTGTGAATATACATATTTATACACAATATGTGCACGCACACACACATATATAGTATCTTTTTTTAGTTACATGTTGGGTGTGTGGCTTTAAAAGTTATTTTCTAATCAATACCTTGTCTTTTCACCTTTTTTTGGGTAAAGTTTTTTGTTTGGGTTTTTTTAAATAATTTT